AGACAGGATGCATCCCTGGCGTACACCCTTCCCAATTTTGAACCATGCAGTGTTACCCTGCTCTGTTCTGACTACTGCCTCTTGGTCCAAGTAAAAACAGAAAAACAATTGAAACCACCAATGAAAGCAGGAGCTGGTTTTTCAAAAGCACCAATATAATTCACAAACTACTGGCAAACTTAACAAAGGAGAAAAGGAGAAGACACTAACAACTCAATTAAGATAGAGGTGACATCACAACAGAATCATAGCAAATTAAACTTACACTATTGGAATATTACTAAAATCTACACTCTGATAAATTGGAAAACCTAGAGGAAATGGCAAATTCCATGAAACACATCCATACCCAGATTGACAAGGACAGATATAGAACACTTGAACAGACACATCATAAAAGAAGAGATTGAGCAGGTCATAAAAGACTTCCTGACAAAAAAATAGTCCTGGACTAGATGACTTCAAGGCTGAATTCTGCCAAACATTCAAGGAAGATTTATCACCAATTCTATTTAAAGTATTTTTTAAAAAATGAAAAAATGAATAAATACTCCCAGAAATATTCTTTTTTTTTCAAATTAGTAGAATTTTATTACAAGAATCAGATCCATTTTGAAATCAGATTCATATGATTTGACCGGCCTCATTTCTGTAGCTGGAAAACTCCTAGCCTACTCATCAGCCTGCTGGACAGTTCCTTTTTCGGAAACATAAATACCATGCAAAAATTTTCAGATATCCTTGTTTTTAACTGTTGTAGCTTGCTGAATCAAAGCAGGTGAATTTGATACAAGTTCAATGTCATTTCCTTTAACTCATCTTTCTGGGCTTGAGATACCGAACAAGCAACACCTGGTCTCATTCGAACTCTCCGAATGTATTTTTCACCCAAGAAGTTTCTAATTTCAACCAGAGATCCACTCTCTTGAATCACAACGTTGATGGGGAAATGAGCATACACAGACCTCATCTTGTAACGATAGCCCAGTGTAACACCCTTGATCATGTTCTGTACGTGGCTACAGATGGTGAGAACAGTAGCCAGTTCCTTCCTGTTTCCCCACCATTTGTCAACATGAAGCCTCCTCTTTTTCCTTCCGAGGAGACTGAGCTCTACATTGATGTGATTGAAGTCCCTCCGCAAGGTTCCCCGCGGGCCTTCCACGATAACTGTGCGGCCCTTCAGAGCAATGTCGACATTCTCTGGAATGTCGACAGTCTGGTTGCTGAGAATGGTCTTCATTCTCGCAGTTACTGTGGTAAAGTCCCAGAAATATTCTATGAAGTAAGCATAACCAACACCGGGCAAAGATATTACCAAGAAAGAAAGCAATAGACCAATATCTCTTGTGAATATAGATGCAAAAATCCTAACCAGTAGAATCCAAAAGCACATAAAAAAAAAAAATTCATCATGACCAAGTGGGATTCATAACAGGTATGCAAGGATGGTTCAAGATTTTAAAAATACCAATGTAATTCACCACATTAACAAAGCAAATAATAAGAACCATATGATCCTAGTAATTGGTGCAGAAAAGGCATCTGACAAAATACAACATTCCTTCTTGGTTAAGACAATCTGAAAAATAGGAATAGAAGGAATTTCTTCAACATAGTAAAAAGTATATATGCAAAGTCAAGAGCTAATATCATTCTCGATGGAGAAAGACTGAAAGCATTCTCCTTGTGAACAGACAAGGATGACCACTGTCACCACTTCTGTTCAATATTGTATTGGAAGTGCCTGCTAGGCAACACAACAAGAGAAGGAAATAAAAGACATCTTGATCAGTAAAGAGATATGATAGTGTAAACTGATATGATAGTGCACACAGAAAACACCAAAGGATTCAACAAAAAAACTGTCAGATTTTGTATGGTGACAGAATAAAAGTTCAATTTTCCAAAATCAGTGGGATTTCTTTAGATTAACAAAGAGAACTCAAAGAAGGAAACCAAGAAACCAATACCATTTGCAATAGCCAACCAAATTGAGATAATTGAGAATGAACCTAACTAGAGACACAGAATACCTGTACAAAGAAACAACAGAACATTATTGTGAGACACAATAAAATCCTAAATAAATGAACAAATGTTCCCTGCTCATGGATGTTGTTGTTGATTGCCATTAAGTTGAGCACTACTCATAGCAACCTTATCAACAAAGGACCTGAACCCTATTCTATGACTATTGTCATTTCTCTAAGTTCTTCCAAGGATAAGGAAGACTCAATGTTGTGAAAATTACAATCTTACCAAAAGTAATCTGTATGTTTAATGCAATCCCAATACAGATACCAAGTTTATTTTTTAAGGAGATCAAAAGGGCAGTTGTCAACTTTATTTGGAGAAGTAAGAAACCCTGAATAGACAAAATACTTCAGAGAAATAAAAATGAAGTAGGAAGCATAGCATTCCCTGACCTCAAAACCTACTACAAAGTGGTAGTAACCAAAACAGCATGGTATAAAATTACAGGCACTTAGACCAATGGAACAGAATAGAAAATCCAGAAATAGACCCAGCTATTTATGGTCAACTTATATTAGACAAGGAAATAAAGTCTATCAAAATGGGGAAATGACAACACCTTCAACAAATGGTTCTGGCAAAAATGGACTTGTACCTGCAGAAAGCTGAAACAGGATCCACATCTCACACTATACACAAAAATCAACCCAATTTTTATCAGTGACCTAGAAGTAAAGCCCCAAACCATAAAGTTCATAAGAGACAGACTGGGACCAAGCTAAGAAGACCTAGTCTATGATATAAAGAGGCAAACAAATACAGCTATAAATGCACAATCTAGAAAGGAAAAATATTGTTGAATGGGACTTTCTAAAGATTAACTCTGTGCTCATAAAAAACTTTTCTAATAGAGTGAAAAGAAACCCTAAGGACTGGGGGGAAACATTTGGCAATACCATCTCAGACAAGGTCTCATAACAAAAATTTACAGAATACTAGTGTGTGCCTCCCGAAGAAAAAGACTAATAGCTGAATTACAAAATGGGCAAGAGGCATGGAAAGACTTTTCACAGAGGAAGACATTCAGATAACCAACAGACATATGAAGAAATGTTCAAAATCACTGATAATCAGAGGGAGGAAAATCAAAACCACAATGAGATACCATTTTATCCCAGTAGTAGTGGTAAAGATTAGCAGGGAAACAAGCAATAAATGTTGGAGAAGATGTGGAGAAGTGGGAACTCTCATATATTATTGGTGGGATTATAAAATGGAAGGCAGTTTGGTGTTTCTTCAAAAAGAACATAGAAAATTCTGTATGACCCAGCTATTTCATTACTAGAAATATACCCTAAGGAGAAGCAGAGATTTGCACACCAATGGTCACAGCAGCACTATTCACAGTCACAAGAACAATGAAATAGCCCAAATGGCCAACCACAACTGAATGGATTTGGAAATTGTGGTACATTCACATGATAAAATACTATGCAGGACTCAGAAGCAACAATTTTCAAAAATACTGCATACCTTGAGAGAGACTGAAGATCATTATGCTGAGTGAACTGTCTCATAAGGACAAATACATCATAAGACCATTATTGTAAAAATAGGATGATAACTAGTAAAACATGTATGGGGACCCAAGGAGTGAAGGGCTGGAGCAGAGGGGTGAGGATGGGTAGAGGCGAAACCACAGGATTGTATAATTTGGGGGGTGGAAGAAGGGAATGAAGAAAATGGGAAGGTCAGACCTGAAAATACACGGTAAGGATGGGCAAAGTCCAATGGTGATTGTTGTTGTTGTTATGTGCCGTCGAGTTGCTTGTGACTCATAGTGACCCTATGTACAACAGTCCTAAACTCTACTCTGTCCTGTGCCAATCGCACTGTCTCTGACACTCCCATCCCGATTATCCCAGTCACTGAATCAATCCACCTCATAGAGGGCCTTCCCCTCCTGCGCTGTCCCTCCACCCTACCAAGCATGATGTCCCTCTCCAAGGACCGGTCTCTCCTCACAACATGTCCAAAGTATATTAGACGGAGCCCCAGAATCCTTGCCTCCAAGAAGCCACCCGGTTTAACCCTTTCCAGGATTAATCTGTTTGTTTTCCTAGCAGTCCATGGTACTCTCAATACTCTTCTCCAGCACCACAGCTCAAAGGCATCAATTCTCCTTCTATCCTCCTTGGTCATTGTCCAACTCTCTGATGCATAACAAGTGATAACAAAGACTATGGCCTGTATCAAACGCACCTTAGTCTCCAGGGAGACACCATTGCTCTTTAGTACTTTGGAGCAGACTTTCCCATCGCAATACGTCTTTTAATTTCCTGGCTACTGGTGCCAAGAGTGTTGACTGTGGAGCCAAGCAAACTAAAGCTGTGAACAATCTCAATCTCTTCACCATCCGTCCTGATGCTGCCAATTGGTCCAGTGGTGAGAATCTTTGTCTTCTTGACATTGAGCCTCAATCCATATTGGAGGCTGCAGTCCTTGACCCTCTGAGGCAGGTGCTTCAGGTCCTCCTCAATTTCAACAAGCAGGGTAGTGTCATCTGCATAACGCAGATTGTTGATAAATCTTCTACAAATCTTGACTCCACATTTCTCCTCATAGAGCCCAGCCTCCCGGATAATCTGTTCTGCATACAGGTTGAAAAGGTATGGAGATAGGATGCATCCCTGGTGTACACCCTTCCCAATTTTGAACCATGCAGTGTTCCCTTGCTCTGTTCTGACGACTGCCTCCTGGTCCAAGTATCGGTTTCTCATTAGAACAGTCAAGTGTTCTGGGATTCCCATTCTTCTCAGAGTCAGCCACAGTTTGTTATGATCCACACAAACTCCTTTGCATAGTCAATGAAACACAGATAGGCATTCCTCTGGTATTCCCTGCTTTCAGCCAAGATCCATCTAACATTAGCTACAATATCCCTAGTAGCACGACCCCTTCTAAACCCAGCCTGGACTTCTGTCAGTTCTCTGCTGATGTGCTGTTCCAGTCGTTTTGGGGTAATCTTCAGTATGTACAACAAACAAAATGGTGATTAGTTTTATAAAATTAGTGCATGGGAATGACTATATGAAACAATATGAATGAGAAAGTGTGAAATAGTGTATATTAACTTTGTAAACAAACAGTAGAAAGTAAAATCTTTTTTAAAAATAATAATAAACAACATATTAAAAATATGTTAAACATTATACTAAAGAATGTACCAAACATTGAGTACTAACATTTTCTTGATTAGCACAAATTCAAATACAGACAATAAACCACCTGGGACTGTTTGGTTTAAGATGGCCATTTCTAGGTGGTACAAACTCAGCTGCTAACTGAAAAGTCAGAGGTTCAAATCCACAGAGAAGTACGAAGGAAGAAAAGTATGGCCATCTACTTCTGACAAATTAGTCACTGAACTGTCTGTGAGGTACTGTTCTTTTGTGACACCCACAGAACCACCCTGCAGCAGAACAACTTGACCTGGTTTCTCAGGAGAGAATGGATTAGAGGAGGTTAAGTAGGTAGGTAATTGACTATTGAGGTAAGAAGGGGCCCAGAGTGGTTAACTATCCATATCACTAAGTGATTAGTCACTCAAAGAGGGTGAGTAATCGACCCAGTGGAGAGAAGGGATTCAGATCAATTTGCTGAGTCTAGGCCTTATTCTTCCTTCTGGGATTCACACTCTTCTCCCACTACTCTCCACTCCTGGAGTGGATGGACAGAGGAAGCACTAGCTTGCTTCTCAGGTGTTCTGTTCACAGGATCTGTGACAGGATGGGACATAAGCCTGCATGCCATCAGTGTAAGCCCACTCATACTGGCGCCTTCCAAGAGCTAGTGATTGGGTACCTACCTACACTGGCGGTGACAGCAGTGATTGAACCACCTCTAAATCCACTTCTTGGTCGGCCTCTGCCATTATCACCTCCTTGACACTAGATCCTTGTGGACCGACTAGCCTAGGACCAGATACCTTGCCTTAAATAGGGAGGGTAGAGGCCACGCTGAGCCCAGTTGAGGTGGAAAGGAGGTCAGCTTGGGGAAAGGCAGTTCTCAGAGTCCCCTTTGGGAGGCCAGACTGTTGTAGGAACCTGCCTGATTCCTCTTTAGTGTGAACTTTCAAGAATTTTTGAATCAGCCAATCTTAGTTCCAAATCCTATTGCTGTGTAACCTTGCAAACTGAGCTAAAACTTTGTGATTTCAGCTTCCCAATATTAAGTGGGAAGGGGATTGATGGTGCAAGCTTGCGG